TCATGTCTGTAATTCCAGCACTTTGGGAGGCTGAGCCAGTAGGATTGTCTGAGGCCAGGAGTTTTAGACCACCTTGGGCAATAAGACCTCTCTCTACGAAAAGTAAAACTTAGCCAGGCATAGTGGCACATGCCTGTAGTCCCAGCCACTCCAGGGAGGCTGAGGTGGGAAGATCGCTTGAGCCCAGGAGCTGGAGGCAACAGTGAGCTACGATTGTGCCACTGTAATCTAGCCTGGAGTGTAGAGTGAGACTCTTTAAAAAAAAAACAAAAAGAGTATATTATTGCATTTTACAAGGAATTTTAAAAAGGGTGACATACTTTTTCAAATCAAGTCACTGAAACCCAGAGAAAAAATCTATTAAGAATTATATACAAAATGCTATTTATCTTCATCAACCGGGAATTATACATGTATTTTTTTCTTCGTAATGTGACTGTAAAACTGTAATATTAATTATTTCTAAAATAAGAGCTTTATTGTGTACTTGCATTGAAGACAGAAAGGAAGAAGCAGAGATAACTCTAGCTGCTAAGTTCTTCAAATGAAGCTTTACTAATCATCAAGTAAATGCCTTTCTATTCATTCAATGTTTTCCTAACTATACAACCTAATTCAGACAAAATCTACCAAAACTTGCGAAAGGTCAACTAAAATAAGAAAAATAATTGCTATGGCTTTCATGGTAAGTGCCTTCTATTTTTAATAGATTCCTAGAGTACCTTTTCCTTGTTCTCTAAAGCAGTGACTTGCAAACTATTTTCACAATGTTCCAAAGATATACACATTAATACATAAAATGAAATTACAATTTTATGAGTCTGATGAACTGACATTTCCTATTTTTAAAAAAATGTTGTTTTTATCCCATTACATGGCCCCCAAATCGGTCAAGACACCCAGGTGAGAAATACTGATCTTTAGATCTTTCTCCAGAAAGATGATTCCTAGTTATCTGTATTTTGTTTGGACAAATTATTTACTATTATGTAATAATATGGACATTTCAGAAGACATCTTAATAAAGGAATTTAAGCTGTTTACAGAATGGTGATTCCCCAATTCCATATCACTATGAAATAAGAAATATAAAGTTATCTTTTGTTTATACATTAGGACATTACTGATTTTCCCACTGTAAATCTTTCTGTTTAAAAGGAAATCATGAAAATGCTGAATGATGTAGCAGGTCTTCACCAGAAAGCGTATTAAATATGCAGTCTCTTTCTCACACACACACACACACACACACACACACACACACACACACATATATGTTTGTTTGTTTTGAGACAGGGTCTCACTCTGTGGCCCAGACTGAAGTGCAGTGGTGCAATCTCACCTCACTGCAGCCTCCGCCTCCCAGGCTCAAGCGATCTTTCCACCTCAGCCTCCCATAGAGTAGCTGGGACTATAACTGTGTGCCACCATGCCTGGCTAATTTTTGTATTTTTTTGTAGAGATAGGGTTTCACCATGTTGCCCAGGCTGGTTTCAAACCCCTGAGCTCAAGGGATCTGCCCAACTTGGCCTCCCAAAGTGCTGGAATTATAGGCATAAGTCACTGTGCCTGGCCCTAAAATATATTTTTAGCAGAAATTTTCTTTTCTGAGTTAAATCTGGCCCCAGCAGTAAATCAAAGATTGCTTAATATGCTGCAGAGAGGCTGATCAGACCACTTAGTAGCGATGGCCTTAAACTCTGCTCTTAGCGTAAGCTTTAATTGTCAGTGAACAGTCCTTATTTCTGTTCCTGCTACGCCCATCGCTCTTTCTTGTTTCTGTTCTTTCAGAACCAGAATTGATACAAGAGCAGGGAATAAAGTTCACTTTAAAAAGCTGCAACATTTTATTAATCAAATCACCCAATTTAAAAGTGCTTTTAGACTTTAAAAATAATTAAGCGCTTTAGCTTATATGGCTAAAAAAAAAAAAACTATCACATCCATCTCTCTGTAAAATTGTAAATATGAAAAATTTCAAATATTGTTACTTGTTATCATATCTGTAGCAAGAAATGAATAGCATTAAAATGTCTGTATACACAGAGAAAATGAGTCTTCCAGGAATTCATGATGGGGGAAAAAAAACCCTTTAGAAAAGCAGTATGTCAACAATGCTTGTAAGTAGAGCTAAGAGCACTATACTTCAGAATGCAAAGAAAGGAAACTAAGGGAGACTTATTTAAAAAAAAAAAAAAAAGGTTTATAATAGTGATAGAAAAAAGTTTAATATGCAAATAAGGCTTTAAGACATCTTTTTTAAGAACTGACAATCAGTACCTTTTTAAATTTTCCTTGTCGTTTTGCTGCAGACTGCCCCTGGGAGTTAGAAGGACATTCTGTAAGAAAACATGCATAATCTACACAGGATGGAGACAGAACCTCTGTCTAATTGTCTTTCAGTTTATGTTCCACCTGTGTCACACCACTTAGAAGGCTCAGGTCTGTGATCAAGATGGCACGCTTTTAAAGAAAGCAACATTGCCACTTTCATTTCTTAAATAAGAAAAAGTACTCAAATATGTTATTACTAAGAGTACCTGTCAACTTATTGAAAAATTTAGTAGATCAAAATCCATTACTTATGAAAGCATTTCTTAAAATAGTAAATTTAGTTGATGATCTAATCTGATTAAAGGGTACCACAACAACCCCACAGCCTATGCATTCCTATAAAAAGCAACAAAGTTACTGTGAAAGTCAAAGTGAAGTAAAAGTTACCTTCCCAACTACCAAAAAACAAGAAATGCTAAACCACTGAGAAAAGATTACGTAAACAATGTGATGGAAGTTACTATGAACTCAACAGCTTTAAGTTACCGCTTTCTCCCAGGAAAGTCTCCCTGGATAAAGAGCTACCATAGTTAACACCACATATTTGTAATTTAATTTCACAATTGTCTCCTAAAACAATATAGCTGGGAAGTAGTAACTATTTCTGAATTGCTAAAAGCCCATTATTTTACTAATAATGCTTTTCTGTTATACTCTTCACAAGTAAACAGACTCTTCAGAAGTGTCATCTGTCATCTGAATGAAAATTCAGAGCTGAAGCCCAACAGCTGAAGCCCAATAGCTGAAGCAGCTATGCTTCCTGTGAAATGAAATCTACAAAAAAGACTACCAGGGTTTCTTAAATCAGTGCATGTATTAATTGCAAATCATTAACTATTGATTTACTTCAGATTATACTAAAGTATTTATGTATAAACAGTATAAACTGAAATGAGACCCAAGAAATGTCAGGGTAGGCAACTTTTTCTAAGCACAAACTTCCCCAATTATGCTTCAATGACAGTAAATAAATGGCCTTTGATTCAATACTGACAATAAAAATATATAATTCTTAAGATATATGAGATCTACTCATTCTGATAACAGCATTTATGTAGCAGGCTTAGCTCTGTAAGAAGTAATAGTAAAGAGAGATACAAAACTGTTAAGAATGACAACTTTTACTGGCATTGAGCTAAAATGATTTTTATGACAAAAGGTGATAGATCTATATAAACACCATTCTCATAATACATTTTTAATGAAAACACAGAAGGAAAAAACAAAAACAGGTAGGTACTTGTAAAATTGTAACATTTATCTCTAAACAACAATAAGAAACATATTTCTAACAAAAAGCATCATTTTGAAATTAAAAAGCAATACCAAAAGAAGTATCTCATATTTTCCTACTTAACCATGTGAAATTCCAATGAGAAAGGTCTGTAGAAGTGTGAAGAAACATGTTTTAGAGTAATAATTGTTCTGACTACTTTTTAAAAGCACCCCAAGATAATCTGATTTATTCCTATGTCCATAATCTTACATTGATTAAATTTCTATAACATGTTCTAATCTTAAACATCATATTTTTTAAAGCCAATTTTGATTTGTATTTATGTGTTTCATGGGAAGTTCAAGTGTATTAGCCACAGGAGGTAAGACAAGTTCAGGGCCTGAGTACTGCTGGCTTGTGAAAAAGAAGCCTAAATATTTCAAAAGTAGTACACATTTTAAAAGACAACTAAATATTAACTGACCTTCACTAGTAACCTGGGAAAAAAGGATTAAATTTTTTTTCCCAAGAGTATCTTCTCTTTTACCCATTCTGAAATGTAGAATTAATTCTTATCTTTAAAGAAATGGAAATTTTGTAATAGGTAATTTCAGTGTTTAAAAAACTAATACTTACAGCTTTCTTTCCTAGTTCAGTCTTTGACAATGTTAAGGATCCTGCAAGATAGCATCCAGGTCCTGCCCCTTTAGGTATTCTAAACAAGAGAATTCAAAGGGAAAAAAAGCAACAAAAGAGAAAGTTTCACAAAGACAAGTAAGGGGAAAAACATGAAAACAATTCCACATTGAATTCATTCCCATAGCTAAGACTTCAAAAATCAAAGGAAGAAATGACTTCAGCCAAAAAAAAAAAATGACAACATACTCCAAATTTAGCCTAGATGTCATAAACTTACATTAAAAGGACTACAGTGTATAAGATGGGCAGTAAGTATAAGCAATGTTATCACTTACTTATCGTCAGGTAAGGAAGTAACAAAGAATGGCTGGTTATATTTGGGTGGTAATGTCAAGTTGCTTGATTTCTTCTTCCCTAGAAGTGCAAAACTATGATTTTCATGAATATCTAAGCTCAAGGTATTAGACAATCTATGAGAAACAATAAATGGAAGGTCTTTAAGGCGTTCCAAATCACTGATTTGCTCATGGCGAATTTGCAGTCGAATTGTATAATCTCCTTTCTCCAGTTTCAAAGAATACTAAAAAAGAAAAACAACATTTGGGAAAAGTTAAGTTTAACCAAGTCAATGGAAATCACTGAAAGAGGATACAGTGAAAGTTGCCATTCACAGACTGGCTTATAATATGTGAGGTACAGTGCAAGGCACTATCCAGACTTTCATATACACACAAAGTCCCTAGTATGCCGGTCAGCAGACAGGACCAGGGACATCAAGTGACTTGCCTAACATCACACAGAGTAAAGTATAAGAGAGCTGGAGTCAGGTCTGACTTCAAAGCCCTTATTCTTTCCAAAAATATTAGCAAAATTGGGGCACCACAGAATATCTAAGACAAATACACACACGTAACTTATGACTACTGGTAATCCTTATTTACTTTTAGAGACGGGGACTCGCTATGTTGCCCAGGCTGAAGTGCAGTGGCTGTTAACTGGTGCAATCATAGTGCACCATAGCCTAGAGCTCCCGGGCTCAAGCGATCCTCCCATCTCAGCTTCCTGAGTAGATGGGATCACAGACATGTGCCACCATGCCCAGCTGATCTTCAAATTACAACCAAAATGTCACTCCTTTATTACAGACTTGAAACAAACAGGAAACCAATAGAGATCAAGGAATACAAGTTTATTACCCAGGTAACAGGTTCAAGAGGATGAGACGCTGTATCCTGTGTCAGCCACTTTTTCTGAGATTTAAAAAGTAACCAAAGTAATAGCACTGCAGTAGGCCATTCTGTAATGAGATGTGACTGCTACTTGCTTTGAGGAAAATAGATATCACTCCTTTAACAACGAATTGAAAAAAATCTCCATAAATTATTTTCATTTGTCAGCATAAAATTATACATGTTACAGGAAATGTCTCATTTCTTTGCAGTAATCTCTAAGGGATAAAATATCTATAAATTATGTGATTTTTCTCTTCAATAAAACAGCACAAAGCATAGTGCCTGGTATGTAGTAAGTGCTCATTACAGAGTTGTCCAGTAAGGTAGCAAATTTAAAAGTACAAATGAACTGACGACACGTGGCCACTGCTGCAGTGCTCTCTTTAGCCCCCTCAGACTTAGGATCATTTCAAGAGGCTCACATATCTTTGATGTATGCTTTGATCTACCTTCAGGTAGGTAGAATCAGTGTATAGGAAGGAGAAACACTACACACACCAAAAGTTATGCTGGCCAATGTGGCAAGCTTCACCTTTGTCCTCCTCTAATTCAGCACAACTACATGGTGAAAGAGTTGACACAATCTGTTCCTCACCAACTACAACAAACAACAGGCTCTTATGGTTTGTGAAAGTACTAAATGCAAAGCTATCATTTTCTTTTTTTAAAGTATGAACGTTACCATAACAAGAAACCAGGATTTTGTTAGTTCAGGAATGAGCTTCTGTATTTTATACCTGATGTGGATAGGCATCACCTGAACCCATCTGTCTTTTGTTCTGGTCAAAAATAATCCACAGTTGGCTGTCAAATTCAGATTCATATAATAGTTCGCAAAGTAGTGGGCAGCTTGGAGTTACTTCCCCACTCTTGGGCTATTAAAAAAAAAAAAAAAGGATTACTTTGCATGATTTGCATATAATTTCTGATACAAATTTTTAATATTGTTATTGACATGAGACTTTTTCATTTAAAAATGAAAAATACTTGTGGCAAAAAATTTTGAAAATATAGAACACATAGTATTTTGGCACTTATAAAAGTCACTGCTCTCTTACAAACTTTTGAAAACACACACCTGGCTATGTGTATTCATTAATAAAGCAATATATACATATTTCAGGACCTCTAATTACTTTATAAAACTGTAATCTGAAAACTCACTGAAACCAATTCATTTCCCTAACATTATAACCAAACTGATGTGTGTTTCAGTAACAGTTTTATTGAAATCTCATTGATCCAGCATTTACACTGGCCTCCATTACTTCCGCCACCCATTCCACCTGGGAGCTACTCTGATCTTTTCCTGTTCCAGTGCCTTCTTCACAGAAAGCAATCAGGCCCAGCACCATCATCAGAAGACAGATGGTATTTCTGAGCCTTCTAATCATCCCTGGGTCAGATGGACAGTGATCAGTGATTTTATCAACTAAGGCTCAAGGTTAGGTCACCACTCAATTACATTTTGTGACTTTACGACTGAATGGCAATTACAAATTATAATTTCCTAAAGAGTAATTCCAAATTAACCAATGTTAATCACTTGATTCTGTTTTATATATATACACCATATACACTGTCCTTCCATTTTTGATTTTATGAATCATAAATAAAACACAAAAGTTCATCCTTTACTAGGCAAACACTTACTTGATGAAAGTTATATGTCAGGACCATCTCATAAAGTTGACGGTTATTTGGCAAAACATCTCTTGATCCTAAAGGTTTTGTTTTTGCACTCACTGGGCTGTAATGAGGAAACTACATAACTGGTTTGATTCAAGAGTTCATTGAAACAGACAAAACCATAAGCAACAAAATCTGTAACATATTGCAAGAAGTGACAGATGAACCTTCCTGAGAGCTATCCTTTTCAGTATACTCTACAATATTTTAACCATTAACTTACATAATTCTTTGATTGAATCATATCAATACACACAGTTTAAATTCTGCAATAAATATTACAAAGGCAATCTTTTCATGGCAAAAACATTTTCAAATACCAACAAATACCTCTTAACACAACCAAATCCCAACACTAGGGTGACAACTACAAGTGTTGTAAGACAGGTTCTGATTTGTACTCCTTGTGCAAACTATTGACAGTACTGTGTTGTGCACAGCACAGACCTCCCCAGGCCTCGGGTGCTCACCAGATAGCAGGGGCCACACTCAGCCCTCCTCCTGGCCGAGGGAATGGTATTTCATATTTTTAGTAGTCCTCTGAAGGAAGCTGCTAACGTTCAGATTTTATAAAGGAGAAAACTGACACTGAAAAGCACGTTTTAAATATAGTTTAAAATGTCAGTGAAACATAATCTACTCCTTTAAATTTAGCTCCAATTTTTTAGATTTAGGAAGACAACATTAGAATGATATAAATTGGATCTGTCTTCAAAGTTGGATGTTTTAATTTTTATTGATAATTCTAGGAAGCGGTGTATCTTTAGACATTACCGTGTCACTGACTATCGTCCCTAAATGGTTATTTTAATGCACTTATGACTAGGCTGCATGCTGATGAGCAACAGAAACCAGGTATCTTTATAACACAGTGAGTATGTGAACACAGGTCACAGTGCCCTGCTTTTGTAAGGGGAGGTGCTGAGGCACAAACAGCAGGCTACAGTACTTAAGTTTCTACTATTCAATAAAAATTTCAGTATTGCAGTTTCTACAAATGATTGCATTAGGACTCACAAAATAATATCAGAGAGAATGTTAACTTGCTATTTTACGGCAAGAAATAAAAAGGTGAATGTCCACTGATCCTAACTAGTCATGACAGGGATCGGCTATCCACCATCTTTGACTTTGCTGGTCAGGCGGGACAGTGAGGCTGGAAGCTGATACTGGGACTGCCTTGCAGAGATCGGCAAGGATAAAATTCTCACCTCTAGCATGCAGATGGTTTTAAAAAAAGGCTCTTTTTTCAGAGTGTAAGAGATCCCCCCAATCTCTATTCAATATTTGTAGTCCCTAAAACATTGAATGATACCGTAGTGTTTGGACCCAGTTCTTCAAAGTTATGCAGGGAGCCAGATCTTCATATTTCAAGGAGGACTGAACATCAAAACGGTTGATTCCTTCCGACGCATGCTACAAAGGATATTTGTCAAATTACTTTCTCAAACTTTACGAAAAATAAGCAATATTTTGTACCTAAAATAAATGTGTCTAATATAAAGTTTATAAGTACCCACACACAAAGCCTACTATTATCTTCAGAACCACAGGTAATTTCCCCTCATTAAAGTTTAAATCTAACCAATGAAATTACTCTCCAATAACACAAGTAACTGACATTAAAAATCATGAAAATGTTATGGAACTTACAATGTTTAACTGAGGAGCAGTACACACTATCCCATGGAAAGAAATGGTATAATCAATGTTGACATCACTGAGACTTGCCCACCAACGAGCAATGCAAAATTCAATTGCTTTTCCACCCTGCAAATAAAAGTAAATAAAATATATCTCTTATTTTTCTCAAATTACAGAATATAAATACTAGCTGTTTCAGAGCAATTCCATGTTTTCAAACTTTTCCTATTTGTAGCAAGAAAACTCAAAAATTTGAACAGCTATGCTAAGAGTTAGACAAATCATTTGCATGTATATTTGCAAAGATATGGTGCAAGTATTTAAATATACATAGTTATTTACTCATAACCCTATGCTTCTTGTCATAAAAGATCCTAGGCAGCTTCTGAAAGCACATATAATAAAGCAAATGTGATCTGATTACTTCAAAGTGAAATAAAAAATTAGGACCGAAAGAAAAATAATCAAGTATAACGACACAAGAAAGATACTACAACTTTGTAAGGTATACTCAATAGGCACAGTTGAGTTTGGGCTCAAAGCTGCCTGGCAACTAAAACAAAATGACATTACGGTCATTTACATCTTTCTCCCTGTTAAAAAACAAAGATAAGAAAAGAGAAAAAAAAATTGCTCTTTGCACTGAGTTTTAAAGTACGTTTTCTAGCAATCAGTGAATTTAAAAGTTTAAAAAGATGAATCATGCAACACTGATCCATGGAAGAACACAAATGAAAAGTAACCAGAAACAAAGAGATACTGCGAAAAGCCCACAACCAACTGAAAACACAAAGGAGAGAGTTGAAGGAAGAACATCAGTACTCTTCCTTCTGTGGAAGAAAGACTAGTCATCGTTTCCAACACCACAGATAAGAATGTAGTGCTGCCATCATTTGAGATAACTTAGACATGAAGCAGTAGCAGTCTTCCTCTAATGCAAATTAGCCTCATAGCTTCTTAACAACACAGCATTAGTAAAATAACTTAAGAGACATGCAAACAAGTCTTAAAGAAATTAATCTACTGTACAATAAAGAATAATCTAAATCAGGGTCCAAACTACAAGACACCAGAATCTACCAGACTAGTATGTTTCTTTGATTAAACTATTCAAGAATTACAGAGATAATTACCTCTAACTTGATTTCAAGTACCCTAATTAGATTTTCTATCTTCCTACTTCATTTTCTTTGGCATTAAAAAATATATTATCCCAATGTGCTAAATACAAAATATAAAATCAAATGCAAATACTTAGTCTTAGCCCATACCATAAAGGCAAATAAATTGTTTTAGGATTATAAACTGTAGTTAAACTTACTAGGACAGGAAAAGCTTCAGTCAGTGTTCCTTTCTCTGGAAGAGAACAAAACTTATAGAATTCATGGCTTCGATACGCTCTTTGCTTCACAAGCTGGACTGCATGAAGAACAAACTTCGCTGACACCTCAGAAGAACATGAACACACTGTCACTTCTAAAATAAGAAAGAAAGAAGCAAAGCTTTAAACTTATAAGACCTAAAACTGACATAAAGTGGCTTTAATAATGCCCACTTAGGGAATAATTCCCATGTAGGGAATTAATAGGAATCAAAAATAAAATGATACACTCAAATCTGCATATTTCCATAAAAACAAATAATCAATAAAATGTTAATAAAGTTAGAGGAGTAGAAGATTTTCTATGGGAAAGAAAGAAACTGGTATTAAAATGAACCAATATCATGATGCTGTAAACACCTGGAAACAGCAGGCTGTCCACAGATGCATACACAGTTATATTAATTGGGTACCTTTTAAAATCTCTCCTCGTTTTAGCTGCAAACCAATCAATTCCAGATAAAGGTAGGTAGGTTATATTTTTGGAAACCTTTATTTGTTATCATGCCTCAATTCCTCATTGATAACTCTTCCTAATCTCTCTTCTTGGTCTACTTGTGTGCTGTGTGCTTCTACAAAGCCTGGCAGGACTACACATGCTTAACTTTACTCTGAGGCAGCGCTGGAGGTAAGCCAAGATCACCACAATGCCAGATTGGCAGCTTCTCTAAAGAATACCCAAGCTAATTCAAGGGAACTGAAGCAAGGCGCAATCCCGTGGCTGACAAAACCAAGTGGGCACAGAGCTCTCAGGACCTAGTCAGTTGCTAAGAATACAAAATCTAGTGTTATGACAGTATTTCTAATTATTTGAAATAAAACTAAGACTGTTAAATGCTCTGAACTACCTGCATTCTAGATCACTGGATAATTTTTATTCAAAAAACAAATTCTTTTCAATACCGACCTAAACCAATCATAAATCAGTGCCATTTATCACTAAACAAATACCCAATTCAGTATTATAGATTTGTATTCTTTAATTTACTA